ATATATATATTTGTTAAAAAAGACAAAGAACCAAAAAATGATAAACGTTGCACATAAAAAGACACTTTAATCTACTAGAACATTAAGGTTGTTATTTTGTCTAAATCCTACAAAGTTGTGGATGTTCGAAGTCAATAGATTTGGAGGAGTCTTGAGAGATAAAAATCAATATTGTACCGAAAATGAACGCGTTATATTGAATTATTTCACCACATCTCGTCCTCCTAGTTTCGTAAAAAGGTCATACATGCTACTCTTTAGATTTTATTGTTATCTATAAATGAAAAATTAAGATAGAAAGAAACTTATAGTGATGTGATAGTGATTTGGGTCATACATGATACTGATGTGATAAAGGTGCCATTAGATTACACTCTTATAGAACTACGGCAATCTAATGGCACCTTTGTTTATGCAAACTGAATTGAAAAGAGTTACTGAGATGTTCTCAAAACCAATAACTAATTATAAATCATAAGTACATTGAAAAAATCACAGTAACTGAGGACTTAGAGGAAGAAGCTGAAGCTGTTCCAAATGAGGCTGCTTTGGTACTCAATTTACCTTTTGAGAAGTCAATGAGAGTTTGGAAGCAGTTTGATTCGATTGAAGCATTTAAAGGCCAAAAGATTCACTTTGATTCCTTAGGGGCGAGACCTTAGCTGGTGGGTTGATGTTTCTATTTGCAAAGATATATGAGAAGGTTGAATATGCAGAAGAAGCCTTGGGAGCACAATTGGAGAAACACAAGATAAAACTCCTGGATCTGGAGCAACATGGACGAGTATGACTGTCAAATGGCCTTGGAGGTGAATGTTTACAAGCATGGATCTTGAAGCGGTGTTTGGTACCATTACTTTTTAACAAAGAAATGATGTTATTAATCCTTAAATTTTCATTATTGACCCCAAATGGGCCAAAAGACGATTGTGTGGAATAGTCAAGTCTTGATCTAACCAATCACAAGATAATTGGAAGCAAAAATTATTTGCAATTCGCGAAATATACAAAAGATATAAAAGAACAAAGAAAGATTAGGTTAGTCTCTCTTCTCTTCTAACCTATTCTTTCTTGGATAACACGTTATAAAAGTAAATGTGTTTGTGTTTTAGCATTTTACAGCCCTAGGGCTTGGGATTCCCATGTATGCTAAGCGTGGAGAGACCCTCACTTTCGGACTCGGCCTTGGAGATGGAATTGGTCCGTAAGAATTAGCAGGTGAAACCCGAGGCGAGAGACTGACTTGCTCCAGTGCTTGTGCTTGTAGCTCCATTGGGTAATCTCTAACACACCCAATCCTTGGACCAACTCCACTTGACCATTTACAAGACAGTCTCTTTGCGGGATCAAACACCCGTCTCGCTCTCTCTTCTTGCTCTGAAGGCATCTCAACTTCTTCTGAGACTTCCTTTGGTTCTTCTTCTTCGTCGGCAGTGGATTTGAATGACGAATATTCCTCGTTCACAGCACATCTCTGCAAATTCAAATTTGGCAACGTGAATAAAACCATTCTCTTGATTCCAAGAACATGAAAGGGTTCTAATATTGTTTATTTCCTTACCTTAACATTGGTCAGATCAACATTGTGCTCCTCCAAGAAACTTATGAACTCCTTGAAGTTTTCTTCTGTCGGGAGATAGTGTCCACTATATGGCCATATAGCCTAAGAGAACAAAAGGTAATTAAGTAAGATTCTTTCTAGTTTACATAACATAAGATATTCATACCCGAAGGAGAAGCAAGAGAGGTAAATTAAGTACCTCAAGGATCCCATCGCGGGCGACCAATCTTCCTGCAGCGGTTGTGGCACCTCCGGATAAGAAACTCGAGTGTTGGAAAACGCCTTTCTTTTTATTCCCTACGTATAAGGTTCTAGTCGTGCTAAGTACAAAAATCGACTTTGATTCTCCGGTTGAATTGATCAGAGTCATGCTCTGTTTATACAATAGCCTCCCATCTTCCACAATCACTTCATATGCTTCTCTCTCCATCTACAAGTTTGTAAGAAACACAAACCATAATGAGTAAACAAGAAGGTAAAGATAGCTAACTACGTACTGTGATCGAGTCGAGTTGGGAGGGTAAGAAACTTACTGGTCCGAGGTATCTGATGCATTGTTTTTGAAGAACACTTCTTGGATGTTTTTCAAGATTTACATCTTTGCCGTCTCCAATATCCAACCTTTAGTTTCAAAATGAGTGGAAACAGAGTTTAGAACAGAGTCAAACATAGAGAGATCTAAGATGGATTTTGGAATCTAAGACTAACCAATAAAAGAACGGTTGTAAGCTCTTGCTCTCTGACCAGACTTCGTAGTAGAAGTGCAAGTTGTGGCCGTAACGATGACGCGGGTCAATCTGTTAAATACAAGAAAGGGACAATAATTAGATAAGATTCACAAAATCAAAAAGCAACTAATAACCAAGTTCATAGAGATGTTTCTCCTCAAGCCATATCAATTGTCTTTGATAAGAACTAACAAACAGAGGTCATGAGAACTTACAGCTTCAAGCCAATGTTGAAGAGCTAATTTCTGAGCCTTTTCATCTTTTGATAAGCCTTTCCCAACCTACACAAGTGAGACCCACATTGGTTTTCTCTTTGATAATAAAGTAAAACAGAGCAATTTGCAAATGATGCTATTATACCTTAGCAGCTCGTTTTTTAGCTCGTGCCCATTTTGAAACAGCGGTTTCATGTTTCTCTTCTTCAAAGAAAGACACAGAGCTTAGGTTCAAAGCTGCAGCATCTAGAGTTTTCCACCTACAACATTTCAAGCAATACTAAGGGTTAGATTAAACATCTTTAAAAGACATTTAGAAAGAAGACTATCGATCAAGTAACTCACCATAGCTCCTCGACAAGGACCGCACAATCTGCTAAGTTCCTTCTCGTCCGGTAACTCTTGTACACCTTTTGTAGCGTAGTTGCAGCCGCGTCAAGCTCGGTGACTGGTCTAGGTGAGAAGAACACAAAAGGCTCAGGTGGAGTAACTGTCGGTTTCTTTATCTGGATTCTCTCACAGTTTCTTCCATTCAAAGTGTTATGAGTTGACTTCTTTGCCTCAAGAACCTCAAAGTCTGAATCAGTCTTGGTCTCTTTAGGAATCTCCCAGCTGTTGAAACTCAACGACCGCTCCATAGTGGCACTCCGATGAATCTTAGGAGAATTCTGGTGTGTATTATTATTGTCTCCTTTGAAACTGTTGGTTCTTGATGTTAAGCTTCCTTTTTTAAGTTCGTAGGTATAGCAGCCAACTTCAAGACCCATGGCCACAATAAAGAAAGATACTTCCAAGAAATATATTTAATATAGAAATCCCCTGCACACATTAATCCAGATCAGTATCAAGTATCAACCTTTTACCAACCACATCTCTCAAATTAATTAAAACAAATTGTTGTCGTATTAAATATAGCTATACCAATCAATAATTGTTAAATTTACCTTGTAAGCATCAAACACAAGAAAGGCTCCTTGTCGTTAAATGATCAGCGTCGCTCTTTGTTTTTTTACCAAGAAAATACAACAAATTAATGGCACTTTAAAAAAAAAAGGAGCTTGAAAGAATAAGAAGATTAAAAAATGAAATTTTATATTTTTTGGAGGAAACCAAACGAGAGAGATATGAATATGACCAAACATGTTGAAGAAGACTTATATATAAATGTAAGAGTAGTGTAGGTAGTTGAAGAAGACTAGTAATAGAGTTAAAAAGTCTTCATTCTACAAAATCGTTGAATGTCAAAAAAAATGACAGGAAGATTCAAACTTGGCGTGTCTGAAAAACATAAACATTTGAATATTATAACTTTATAAGAACTAAAAAGAAGGGAGGCTAGAAAACAAAGGAGTAGAGATGGAGGCTAGTAAAGGGAAGTTCATGGAAGTTATTGAGAAAAAGACAATACACATAATCTATTACCAACATCTTTTTTCTTATTTAATGTAGCAAAATGATACTATTATGATATGAGTTTGATTTTTCTGATAGCAATAACTAGTCATATATTGTATATCGTCTTAAATATGTTTTTTTTATAGTTAAAATGGTGTTAAGAATATTATGTTTTTTTAATTCGTTTGTGTATTTTAATTGATTAGTAAAATCTATATAGGGTCTATAAAATTTGTAAATTCGAAAACATATGAATTTGGGTTTTTTTTTTTGTATCTTTGACTTAAAAATCTTCCAAATCTATTAAAATTCACCGTGTAATGAAATTCTTACGTGAACATT